GGACTAGGTCGGGCAGTGCTCGCTACAAGAAGACTAGTGAACGAATATCGAACTGGGGCGAACGGTGCTTACTACAAGAAGGCTGGTAAACCAGCAATGGACTGGGTCGGGCAGTGCTCACTACAAGAAGACTGGTGAACGAACATCGAACTGGGGCGAACGGTGATTACTACAAGAAGGCTGGTAAACCAGCAATGAACTGGGTCGGGCAGTGCTCACTACAAGAAGACTAGTGAACGAACATCGAACTGGGGCGAGCGTTGCTCGGAGATTTGGTATTACATAGCAATGCTTAAAATACCCTGGACAGAAGAAAAAAAAAAGCAACCAAGAAGTTTTGATAGAGGCGGGAGCCCGAAGACAACTACTCACAGACATCAGAAGTAGACAGTAATCATGTTTCGGCCATGTTATAAGACGAGGGAAAATGGAACATGTTGTGACCACTGGAAAGATCTGTGGAAGGAGGGATAGAAGAAGAGAAGATTCTTGACAGTCTAGTTGCATGGCATGGAGGTGTGTCAGCACACGAACTAATACATGCTGCAGGAGATCACAGACTGTGGCGAGGCATAGTCGCCCATACCAGTCTGCAAAGCACCTGATGATGATGATTCACTATTCGTATTCGTGTTCGGCCGAATAGTTGGTCCAGCTATTCGTATTCGGCCGAATAGTGAAAATCACTATTCGGTACAGCCCTAGTAGTTACAGCCAATTGTGTTTCTATCTTGTCTATTAATGGGACATAGTAATATAATTAACAGATGGACAGAGTATATAGGGGAATTGTATGATGATAATAGACCAGACGTAGAACTGCAGACCAACAATGATGGTCCACCAATAATGACTGCAGAAGTTGAGGATGCAATACATCATATGAAGAAAGGAAAAGCACCCGGGCCAGACAACATCTCACTGGAAGAAATCGAAGCACTGGGAAATTTTGGAATTGAAATAATAACTAAAATTTTAAATGATATTTATAACAGTGGGTATATTCCAAATGACCTTCTAAAATCCATATTTATAGCTCTGCCGAAGAAACCAGGCACTTTAAAATGTGAAGACCATCGCACAATAAGTCATATGAGTCACATGACTAAGATTTTACCGAGAATAATTATGAGAAGAATAAGAAACAAAATTAAACCAGAAATCAGCGATGAACAATGTGGATTTGTATAAGGAAAAGGTACAAACAATGCCATATACATCCTAAGGACATTGTCAGAAAGAGCTATAGAAGTAAAGACTGATTTGTACTTATGCTTCATAGACTATACAAAAGCATTTGACTATGTGAAGCATGAAGAAGTAATCAAACTGTTAGAAAAATTAAACATTGATGGGAAAGATCTAAGAATAATAAAGAATATGTATTGGCAGCAAACAGCAGCTATAAGAATTAACAACTGTTTAGGTACATTTCAAAGCATAAAGAGGGGCGTACGACAAGGATGTGTACATTCACCTGATTTGTTTTCAATATACAGTGAATATATTATGAGATCTTTAATTGATATGCCCGGAATCGTGGTTGGTGGGCACAATATAAACAATTTACGTTATGCTGATGACACAGTCTTGATAGCAACAAGTCAGAAAGAATTACAGGAAATGATAGACATTGTGGTGTTAGAAAGTGGAAGAATGGGCCTCAGTTTGAATAATGGAAAGACAGAAGTAATGGTGGTATCAAAGAAACAAATTATTCCTAAATGTGTAATAAAAGTCGATGGTGTTATTTTAAGACAAGTAAAGAAATTTAAGTATCTGGGCACATGGATAACATCAGATGGAAGATGCATAACTGAAATAAGAAACAGAATCGGACAGGCAAAAACTGCATTTTATAAAATGAAAAACATCTTGTGCAATATATCCTTGTCATTGAGAGTTAGAAAAAGAATTCTTGCTTGCTACATACACCCAGTTTTAACATATGGATGTGAATCCTGGACAATCGGTAGGCAGGCCAAACAATTTTTAGAGGCCTCAGAGATGTGGTTTTACAGAAGAATGCTTAGAATACCCTGGACAGCCCTCTTCTTTACAGGCCTTTATGTCATGGATATGCTATTAAAACAGGCGCGTCGCCACGACGAAAACTTTGTTTAAGAAAAACCACTTTAGGGAGCCCCCCCCCCCCCCACAATGAATGGGTGGGGGGGGGGGGGGCAAGAACTTAGCCTCCAGTTTTAAGTGCAAACGACTATAAAGCATATGCAGTGAAGACTTGAAAATATATAGTGAATCGTTTTTAGCCGTGAACATTCACCATGAAGAGAATCTTCTGAACATGAAACGCAATTTTATTTTAAATCTCCTCCATCGCATTAGTCGGGCGAAGCCCTAATACACCATAACGGTTGAACATGGTTTCTAGGACGCCTAGGGGATTCTCCTCTGAATGGTGACACTTTATATTACAGGGTGTTAATCGCTTGTTGTCCTGTCCAGGTAGGGGTTAAACGTCACGCACTCGCCGGTAACATAGCTCTATACCAGCGGTTCTCAACCTGCCGGTCGGGACCTTTTTTTTTTTGGTCAAACGACCCTTTCACAGGGGTTGCCTAAGACCTACGGAAAACACATATTCATCGAAGTTATAAAGGAAATAATTGTTTTGGGGTCGCCACAACAGAAGGGAACTGTATTAAAGAGTTGCGGCATTAAGAAGGTTTGGAGCCACAGCCATAAACATGAATGTTTTAGCCATTTTCAGCCTGCTTATTTGGCAGTTTTAGCTGAAAATGACAAATGTAATTCGGCAGTCCTGCATTTAGTTCCGGTTGTTCTTTTCAACTCTTGCAGACTATCTGCCACGACTAGGTAAAACCTGACTTTTATTGTTTTGTCTAGTACTAGTACAAATCTCTGTTGTTCTACCTCTTATTAAGTTAAAATCCTTGAGAACACCTAATGGTTGTATCATCTGTACCAATTTGCTTAAACTAAACACCGAAGATTGTGCAGACCAAACACTGTTCTGTTAAACAATAAAATACTGTCAGTCATCCACAGTTGTGACAACTGTTATTGGGAAAATCCTCATTATATTTTTACATTTATGAGAAATTACATTCGATTCACAGCCAGCTCCAGATATATATATATATATATTCATGATTCTGTTATATGTTTTAGGAAGTTGAATCGTGTTATAATTTCTGTTTACAAACCTGACTGCTGTTAAAATACGGTAATTACATTATAACAAACCATTATCTCTGCAGAAAATATAAAACTATTTCTTTCAGTTTTAGGGTATTATAAATATTACTGTTTCTATTAAGTTGCTGTTGTTAATGTTGTTATTTGCTTGCGATCTCCCAACACATACTCACTTAGTTTCTTTGAAGACGTGTCGATGTGTCTGGGCAAAGGTCTGTCTCTAGCCAGACTTTTTTAGTTTTGCGATGACCTTCTTAGTCAGAGCACTAGTTTTTTGTTTAGTTAGTCGACTCTTAGGACACGCTGGTTGGGGAGACAGTGGGTCTGTTCTTGTTTACCCTATAATGGGGCTCTGAACCCACACAGAGAAGATGGCAAAACATGAGAACCTACACTTATCGTCATGGCACATGATTATGATGTAGTAGTTACTTGTATGTTATGACTACAGTTATATTAAAATGTGATATAATAAAGCCAAGTTTTCTTGGAATCATTTTCACCCAGTGTAGTCACATGTGAATGCTTTTAGTTTCAGTATCATAACTGGTTAATTTGACAATATATAAGATTTGGATTCTAGCTGTAATTATGGTGTCAGTTTTGTAAATAATCTATGCCCTGGAAGGTTTTAGTACACTGTCCATTTTTGGTGTGTAGAGAATGTGGCTTCATGGTTGAACTCTTTTGTATATTTGTTCCAGACAAATATACCTGCATGCATTTTTAAAACACACCGAGTTTCTGTTGTGCTGCAGTATGTTTTTGTCATACTTGGATCATGTGTTTCACAAAATGGAAAGATGTGAGAAACAAAAAGTTTCATTGTCTTCATTATTACAGTCTATAGGTAAAGCAGGTATATTATATATGTCTGTTAATTTATAACAAAACTTGCATATTCACAGATTTCAACTAAATCATTTTTATTTGCTATCCTTTCTCCCTGTGATTGTCTTTATTCCTTGTTCACTTTAGTATTTTATTTCTCTTTCTTTTTTTTTACCATTGTTCAGTATCTTCTTTTTTGTTCACCAGCTGCGATCTGTGGTGGAAAGTTCTGGTTTAGTCTTGTTCCAGAATTCAAGTTTTGCTTGCACATCTGTTTTACATATTTGGCTTTATGTATATGCAGACTGACGGTTCTTTACCTCTTAGGCAGATGCATTCCCACTTTGTAGGAAACACTTCTAATTAGTCTAGCTAAGGAGAATGGCGCTGCGAGGAGTTACTAGAGGATCTGCCGACGCTCAACACTCAAGGGAGGGTGAGACGGATATACAGTCAAACAGTTACTGGTGCCATCAGAATTGGAACTCGCTATTTACTGCTGAACATGGGGACAGAGCGCTTATGGGGGCGTTCAAAGTGCTTTGATGTTGATTCTTAATTCAACATTCAACCCCAAATTAATTGCCTCCTGCAACAAGAGTGTTAGTAAAGTAGTGGGTATATACTGTTCCCCCAAGAACCCACGTGGGCAATCTATTTAAGCTGTATTCAGTAGTTCTTCTTCTGCTCTTGTCCTGTATTGTCTTTCAACATCAAGTTTTAAAGAATCATCGGTTGGGAGACTTGGTATGTGCTATGTAGATTCTAGTATTTACAACCTTAGATATTCCATCCATCCATTGCTTGTGTGGTCAACGTCTGGCTCTGTTTCCACTAGGTCAGCTATCCTCCGAATAACAGTCCCAAATTATCGAGGCCGAAAATATACCTTAACAAGGCCTCAGTCACATTTAAATTGGGGATCTCTTTTTTTACAAAGTGTAATTGTTCTATTGTTTGTTACAGGGTTGTCTTGTGATCCTAATTTCATGATGGCAGAAGAAGCACAGTCTCCGTACATCATTCAGAATTCCACTGATGTGGTTCTGCTGGACTGTAAGGAAGCATTTGAAGGACTTTCTGCTAAAGAGAGACACTATGCTCACCACCTAGCTCAGGCCAGCTTTAAGGGAGGCTTGATTGTGCTCTTTCAGGTTTGTCTTGTTACTTATTTTTTTTATTAGTTGTCAAATTATGTCTTCATCATTATGTACCAGGCTGATAAGTCTAGACCAGTGTTTCCCAAACTTTTTTGTGCCATGCCCCACCTGAACCTTTCTAAAATTCTTGAATGTTGAATTTAGAATCAACATCATAGCACTAGGGACACTCCCATTAGCGCTTCGTCCCCATCATTAGCAGTAAGCGAAGAGTTCCATTGATACCAGTAACTGTCTGATTGAATATCCGTCTCGCCTTTCCCTTGAGTGTTGAGCATCGGCCAGATCCCCGGGTAACTCCTCGCAACACTATTCTCCTCAGACCTTAACGATCTATCTGTGCCTCCGCACTGTTCACTCGCTTATCAAAGGACCCTCACAATATCTAGCATGTCGTACATCAGTTCACCACCAAGTGGTGTGAACCAGTCAATCTATCTGCCTGCTCATTTCTCAACACACCGGCATTACCTGGAGAAAATATCCAAAGGATACTAACTACCCGGGACCTCTGAAGTAGTGCTTAGCATTCTGCATGGAATATGCCCGTCTCCACCTTTCTCAACATGCTCTGTGAGTCAGTTACAATCATGGCATGTATGTACAGCTGATTCTCAAGCCAGCGGAAGGCAGCTGTGACTGCCTCCACCGATCTCCATTCTTAAACTAGACATTCTAAAATTCTTATGTCCCCCTATGTAACTTAAATGCTGGATGAGTCTGTTTTTGAATTGCCCCCATGAACAATCAAATTGCTTCCCTTTCAGTATCATGTGTTTGTTTTCAGTTCTCCTGCTAGTGTTATTCTCCCATTATTTGCTTTACTCTGCTATTATCGATGAATTTGTTGAGTCTTTCCCGCACATGTATAATTAAACCTTTGCCTAGTCTTCTTCTTTTTCTTCTTCTTCTTCTTTTCTAGTCCTATTCTGCCTTTCTGCCTTGAAGAGGCATCGGGTGTGAGTCTTGGTGTGTGCTATGTATTTGTGGCCTTGGTTATTCCATCTGTCTATGGCTTGCATGGTCGACTTCTAGCTCAGCTTTCATAACTCTTAAGTGACAGGGTGGGCTCTCTGTGGTGCACCATCTGGTGGTAGTCTTGACTCATGTCTGAACCAAATTGATCTGTTGTCTCTTGAGTTAGTTTAGTACTGGTTCCGCCCCAACTTGTTTCCTGATATCGTCATTTGTGATTATACCTTACAATGTATGTTTCATTTTGACACAGATGCATCAACATAGAAGTAATTTTGTATGTACAGATTATAAGGATAACAATGTCGTAAAATATTCATAATATTATCTCACTGTCAGTATTATACAACTGTTGTTATACTTGCAGACATCACCAGAGTCTCCAGGACTGTTTGTGTTGCTACAGAAATTGTTCAGAGCTCAAACTCCTAAAGAAATATTGGAACTTGCACAATCGTTGGGATTCTCCACAGAAGAACAAGAGGTGCCTTCTAGATTTAACCGTATTATTTTGTGACATTGAAATGTTTATCACTTAATTAAGAAAGCATCATCATTTTTTTTTGCAGCTTCTCGTTGAATGTTATCCTCATCACAACCTACTGATAAGATTCTCATTCCTTTGCCATTTTTTCAGCTCCATGTATTTCTATTATTTATGTTATTCTTGAAATTCTGTTACTGATGTTATTATTCTTCATTCTGTTATTAATGATGTTATTATTCTTTATTTTCCTGCTGTTACTTTTTTTCATTCTTTTATTATTAAAAATATATTCTGCATTCTTTTGTTACTGATATTATTATTCCTCCTTTTTATTGTTGTTATTTTTCTTCATTCTCTTAATTCTGATGTTTTCATTCTTCATTCTTTATTATTGATGATATTATTCTTCATTACTTTATTGGTTTTATTATTCTTCATTTTCATTATTATTGATTTATTATTATTCTTCATTAATGTTTTAATTCTTGTTATTGTTCTAATGCATTTGATAAATGTGGTTGTATTTCGTAATATTTTTTTTAAACGTTCAAATAGTTCTGAAAGAAATACTAAGCAGGCATCTGTTTCAAAACAGTAAACAGATAAGCAGTTTCCATCAATTTTCCTTTAATTTGGTACATAATACATTATACTTTACCTCAGCGGATCTCAGCCAATGTGTTGCAACCTTTTTTTTTTTTTTGGTCGAATAATCCTTTCTCTAGGGTCGCCAAAGACCATCACAAAACAAATATTCATTGAAGTTATGAAGTAGCACCGAAAATAATTGTATGGTTGGGGGTCGCCACAACATGAGGAATTGTATAAAAGGGTCGCCACAACATGAGGAACTGTATAAAAGGGTCGCCACAACATGAGGAACTGTATTAAAGAGTCGCAGCATTAGAAAGGTTGGGAACCACTGCTTTACCTATTAATTTAGTAAAGTAAGGGACCCTTTTTCTTGCCTTCGGGCGTATTGGGCACATAGGGCTAGACCTATATTTTATAGACCGGTTGGCACTGCGAGGGGGATGGGGTCAGCATCACACCGGCCACTTTTACTGCACCTGGTACCCACTCAAGGCTGGGTCCACCTGAGAGCCAAGGTCATTTTTGTAAAAAGCCCAGCTCCATTAGGACCCAAATCCCTGACTTTCTTATCCGCAGGTGAGCGTCTAGCCGCTACACCACAACAATTCTCACTCATCCATATGTAAATGTAATTTAGGTGGGGGGTGTTCATTTTTCAGTTCTTTTTAAATTAATAATTTTGGTCACAGTGTAAAGTTGAAGTTGAAAGTTCAGAGGATCGACTTCGTTGCACCAGGTTTTAACCTGTATAGCTCTGTTTGTCTCCACAGATTGGCTAGCCACGTGCAGATAGCCTCACACAAAACATGAACTCTGTAGCTTCGGTGATGATCCCCAAGGATGTTTGTACAAATTTCATTTGTGAACTGAATGACACAGCCATGAAATGAAGCAGTGACCTTCAGAGCATGAATCAAATGGATTGATCACTTCACCACAGAGGCTGCCGGGAGCTATGTAACAAAATTATACATTAAATTAATTAAGAGTGACATTTCTCTAATGTTTTTCATTTCAGGCATTTCTAATTTATGCAGCTGCCTTTTACTCAAATATGGGAAACTACAAGTCATTTGGTGATACAAAGTTTGTGCCAGGGGTTGATAAGGTGAGAGAAACATTTTAGAACTGGTCAAGTGAGACTGCATTACATAATTGGTTTTTTTTGCACCTGCCGAAAAGACCAGTTTAAAACATGATTACCTGCATCAGAATGAGAAAGTGATCATTTTGTGATCATCTTATGTCATGAGTTGAGAAATGACATCATACTACTCAGGACATTCCCATAAGTGCCCTGGTCACATCTTCAGCAGCCAGTGCAGAGTTCCACTTCTAATGATACCAGTAGGAGTCTGGTTGTATTTACCTCTTGCCTCCCCTCTGAGTGTTAAGCCTCTGTCAGATCCCCTGTTTACTCCCCACAATACCATTCTCTTCAGAATGCAATGACTTCAGAGTTCTGCAAACCTTCAGTCTTGTATGTATTTTTTTTTGGTAGAAGTAGAAATATGTCAGATAATTGAGCGTAATGTTTTGATTTACTAGAGATATTAGCCAGGGAAACATATCAGGTCAGCATGAACTTAGGATTTGGACAGGGTGTGATAATCTTTTGAGTTCTCTTCCACAGAGATGCCCCTGAATCATCATCATCATCATCATATAGTAGGTCCTTTGCAGAATGTCGCTGTCATCACAGTTTGCCTGAAAGAATCTCAGTCTCTCACCAGCTGCCTCACCTCGTGCACTTTAATACCTAAGGAGTCACTTTTTCAAATCTTTCTGAGATAAGCTGCTGTTTACTAGCCAATATTCCTTGATGTTAAGATCTTTGAGGATATCTGTATTTATTTTCTTCTTTGCCCTTTGATTACAGATAACAGTCAATCTTATACTGTGTATTATTTCTTTGTTTTCTCGCTCAGGCAAAGGTAGAGGCTTTGATAAAAGCTAGTTCAGCATACAAAAAGGATGAGGTGGGAATGCAGAAATTGTGGGATGCAGTGAAAGAGAGAATGTTTTCTTTAGACGGTAAACAAAAGGAACTGGGACTTGGCGAAAAGGTACATAATATTTATATTTGTCCATTTATAACAAAACTACTCAACACATAGACCTAATCACATCATATTGTGGATTTTGTATGTATGTTTAATTGATACAACCTGGGATTGATCCAGCTGCATAAAATAAGTGCCCGATTTTGTCATCCCGTGCTGAATCAGGCATCTTGTTTGCCATGCCACATTTATTGTGCAAATTGGTCATAGAAAACAAAGAAACATAATAGATTAATGTGAAAGATTCTAATCAATGTAAGCGGGTCTTGTCAGTCACACTGGCCATTGTCATAGTCTGTAGTTTCCCTGCCTTGCTATAGCACAGTAGAATACTTTCTTGTGGAAAGGTGCGTATAGAAATAAGGAACATATCATAGACATAACAGCTCATAGACATAACAGTTCATAGACATATCATAGACATAACAGCTCATAGACACACCCATCATCACCATAGGCTGTTCCTCCCATGTCTTCCTTTAGCACAATGAAACACTTTCACTTAGAAAGGTGAATATGTGTCTGTATGGCAATAAGAAACATATAGTCATAATAACTCACAGTCACACCCGTCATAGGCTGTTACTCCTATTCCTTCCCATAGCACAGTGAAACACTTTTACTTAGAAAGGTGAATATGTGTCTGTATGGCAGTAAGAAACATATAGTCATAATAACTCACAGTCATAGGCTGTTACTCCTATCCCTTCCCATAGCACAGTGAAACACTTTTACTTAGAAAGGTGAATATGTGTCTGTATGGCAGTAAGAAACATATAGTCATAATAACTCACAGTCATAGGCTGTTACTCCTATGCCTTCCCATAGCACAGTGAAACACTTTCACCTAGAAAGGTGAATATGTGTCTGTATGGCAATAAGAAATATATAGTCATAATAACTCACAGTCATAGGCTGTTACTCCTATTCCTTCCCATAGCACAGTGAAACACTTTCACCTAGAAAGGTGAATATGTGTCTGTATGGCAATAAGAAATATATAGTCATAATAACTCACAGTCATAGGCTGTTACTCCTATTCCTTCCCATAGCACAGTGAAACACTTTTACCTAGAAAGGTGAATGTGTCTGTATGGCAATAAGAAATATATAGTCATAATAACTCACAGTCATAGGCTGTTACTCCTATTCCTTCCCATAGCACAGTGAAACACTTTTACCTAGAAAGGTGAATATGTGTCTGTATGGCAATAAGAAATATATAGTCATAATAACTCACAGTCATAGGCTGTTACTCCTATTCCTTCCCATAGCACAGTGAAACACTTTTACCTAGAAAGGTGAATATGTGTCTGTATGGCAATAAGAAATATATAGTCATAATAACTCACAGTCATAGGCTGTTACTCCTATTCCTTCCCATAGCACAGTGAAACACTTTTACCTAGAAAGGCGAATATTTGCCAGTATGGCGGGGCCTTATTTTGGGAGAGAAAAAAAAAGAATAGACTGGCTACTCACTAACAAGCATATTCTAAAGGTGACTAATTATATTTGCTGAAATTGGATGTGTTGGTCTGAAAGGCCCAGATATCACAGCCTAGCTGAAAGCATAATGAGTCAACTGTTCATTTAAGGACAAACGCAAAAGAAAAAGAAAAATAAAGAGAAACACGTTTCTTTGATCTATGAAAATATAGAATGCTATTGTCTTCAACAGGGAACATCAACTTACTACTCTGCCAACTGTGATGAGCGTGATGCTAAAATTGCACAGGAGTTTCTTATTTCACAGGTTTTGTATTTACTTTTTCATTCGCTCGTGTGTCTTATCTTTATCTGTACCTTTCATATGCTTGTGTATATGAGGGGTAAGCACAGTGGCTAACATGCTTTTTTGTTGGTTCAGTGATCACGTGTTTGAATCCCCTTTGAGGCACAAAGTGGCTGAGGCTTCCCTAGCAACCCAGCCTAAAATGAAGAATATTTGTCACTGACTATCACTACTGTCTGTATTTACCACTTTTTAAGAGAGGTGTAGACAGTGAGGTTGTGAGCCTGAGGATTTGGGGCCACGGGGCTAGTGCTGTCACCACCGACTGTGCAGGTTAAGATGTTAAATTTTGTCTTTCCCCCCCCCCCCCCCCCCCCCCAACTTCCACAACACCCTAACAGAATATCAAGCAAGTGTGAATTGGTCCAAAAATATTTGGGTAGCACCATATACCCAGGATGCCATGTGGCATCAGAAGTGGTGCTTTATCTTACATATGCAGAACCTGGAGCGGATAAAAATATTGTTATTGGCCATAAAGTTCAGTTCTATAGCTTAGGATTGGATAAAATGGTTTCAGATTACAATCCTCAAAGTTTACTGGAGTTCGTTTCCTGTGTGGGCGGTTTAAAAAAAGACTGTTCTCATAGGTTTAACGGTGGTGTGAAAGTCGCACTGTGGAGGAGATTGGGGCTTCACCATGTAATATACCTTTAGTTAGCAGCTCTGTGGCTTAGAGATTAGTCAGTCTGATGAACAGTTTTATGATTCTAGAGTACTTTTGTGTATGTGTGTGTGTGTGTGTGAATGTGTTTGATTGTTTATGTGGTGGTCTCTTTAGTTTGTAGGATTGTCCAGTTTGTTTATTATTTGTCATCCTCTCGTGCTGTTATACATCACATAGGGCTACGAGACTAGTCTTCCTTTCTTTTCGGTCCTGTGCAATCATTATTTAGATGTTTTTACAGAGTGAGCTGCCCGAACCACAGCAACATGCATGTCTCGACTTGAGGAAAAATTGGTCACGTTTTCATCTGTTTTGTTAGTTTGATGCTAAATGAACAATATCTGGTTTGTGATTCTTCAGAACATCAGCCCATACAACACTCGGTTATTTAAAACTCAGGATGAAGCTGGGCAGACTTTGTACGAGGTCAGACTGGCATCAGCCGCAACAGATGGTGAGCTTATCTTTATCTGTGGCATATTCTGCATTTTTCTTCTCTGTCACTTAAGCCTATGTTATCACAATCTCTTTTGTTATATACTTGCTTCATGTGTCTTTCCTTTTGGTTTATTTGTATGCAGACTTATGTTTCCTTGCCTCTCAGGCAGATGTTCTCCGACTTTGAAAGATATCCCCAATTAGTGGACTCCTACGTCATGCGTATTGGGGAGGAAGTGAGTCTATTCTTGTTTCCCCCCACAATGTAGCCCCGGAACCCACACAGGGAGCTACGAGGTAATGTCCTGGGAAGTAAAGGCAGAGGATGTGATGTGTACCACACCACCCATTGAGTTTCAATTGATTTATTAAACAAAATGAGTCTAGTATCATATATCTTAGTTTATGTTGTGTTTGTTATTGACTAAACTATCTGTGCTAAAGCAAAGATCTCTTTACACGCCAGTGGCGCCCCTGGCATATGAGGCTAGACTCATATTTTTATAGACCAATCGGCCCTTGATGGGTGATGTGGTCACCATCACACCAGCCACTTTTACTTCCCAGGACTTTACCCGGTACCCATTTAAGGCTGGGTGTACCTTGGAGTCAAGGTCATGTATGAAATAATCGACTCCATTGCAGATTTTAACCCCAACGTTTGGATTTGCAGCCAAGTGTCTAGCCGTTACAGCATGGCGGCTCCTTCTATATTTGTTATGCCTTGACTGTTTTTGTGTGAGTGCAGTGCTTGCTATAAGCTCAGTATATATTATGTCAGACCGTAAAAGGATTAGAGACAGACAAAGACAGTTGGTGTTTTTCTGACAGTGTTTAGAGAAGGAATGGGCTAGGTAATGACTGGCAAGATTGATGGAAAGTTGGTGTTTTTCTAACAGTGTTCTGAGAAGGAATGGGCTAGGTAATGACTGGCAAGATTGATAAAAAGTTGATGTTTTTCGGACAGTGTTTAGAGAAGGAATGGGCTAGGTAATGACTGGCAAGATTGATGGAAAGTTGGTGTTTTTCTAACAGTGTTCTGAGAAGGAATGGGCTAGGTAATGACTGGCGAAATTGATGGAAAGTTGGTGTTTTTCTAACAGTGTTCTGAGAAGGAATGGGCTAAGTAATGACTGGCAAAATTGATGGAAAGTTGGTGTTTTTCTAACAGTGTTCTGAGAAGAAATGGGCTAAGTAATGACTATCGAAATTGATGGAAAGTTAGTGTTTTTCTAACAGTGTTCTGAGAAGGAATGGGCTAGATAATGACTGGCAAGATTGATGGAAAGAGAGCAAGGAAAAGGCAATGACATAAATACCTGGATGGCTTAGCCATATGGATGGGGTGAGACAAAATTATTGACCTGATCATTGGTTGTGGTGATCATATGAGTTGGCAAAACATGACAGCCTTTGTCTGTCAGTGCTGCACTTGATGATGATAATGTTAAGTCCCTGCTATCTGTGTGCATTACTGACTGTAATCTCACTACATGTGATATCTCCATTATTTTGCTTACAAACTGACTAATCTCAGTCAGTGTGTACCGTCCCTGCTATTTTGTGTGCAATGCTTTCTTCTTATGTTGTCATTGCATTGTTACTGGGTTGTGGCCCAGCGTGTTGGTAATACTACGTACAATGTGTACGTGTTATGTTTCTGAACTTTTGTGTGCAGTACTGACTATGCGTATGCTAGAGTTTACAGCTGGTGAACCCTAAGGAGAAGAAGAAGACTAGTTAGAAGCCTAAAATGTTTTGTTTCTAGAGACACTAAACATCTTTCATGTTTCCGATAATTTTGTCTGACACTTATGTACTTCTAGTATCAGCAGTACCAGGGTATCCAGATGGCAAGGTTCTAGGTGACTATAGCTTCACCCCCGAGAACAGCCAGCAGGCATACAAGTTCCGGGTCACCAGGGGGGACTACTCAACGCTTATGGCTCTTCTCTCACAGGAGCTGGAGCAGGCAGAGGTTAGAATAACTGAATAATTAGAATAATTGTTTTCGGTAAATATCTGATTTCTCTTCTTATTGTTGCTAGGCCTGTTGCAGTTTAAGGGAGTATGTTACCAGATGGATCCCATCCCACATACATAACACATACCAAGGCTTGCACTCGATGCAGCTTTAAAACCTGATGCCGAATGGCAGAACAGGACAAGAGAAGAAGAAAAATTGTTCAACTGTATCTGTATGTGTTTCCTTCTCCTTTGTTGAGCTTTCTAGTCATAATTTTGTGTGTGTTAAATTATTTCTCAGGAACGCAGTACCTTAGCAGCTAGATGCTTGCTTACGTGCCGGCCGTAAGTTTTTGGTTTAAATTTACGTCAAGGTGGATTTAATCTCACATTTTGTTTTGCTACCAGGTCGAACTAGCCTAAAATGGGCACAAGGTTATGTCCTGGGAAGTAAAGGCAGAGGATGTGATGTTGACCGCATTACCCACTGAGTTTTGATTGCCCTGTAAAAATATGTCTAGCATCTTATGTCCAAATCGCCACTGGCTTAAAAAGGGTCCTAAAAATTGTAATCATCTAGAACAATGTCAGTCTATTTAAAACCTACATACAGTGCACTTCTACCTGTGTGGGTTCCTAAAACCTACATACAGTGCACTTCTCCCTGTGTGGGTTCCTAAAACCTACATACAATGCACTTCTCCCTGTGTGGGTTCCTAAAACCTACATACAGTGCACTTCTACCTGTGTGGGTTCCTAAAACCTACATACAGTGCACTTCTCCCTGTGTGGGTTCCTAAAACCTACATACAATGCACTTCTCCCTGTGTGGGTTCCTAAAACCTACATACAATGCACTTCTCCCTGTGTGGGTTCCTATGCAACCTGTGTGGGTTCAAACCTAATGCACTTCTCCCTGTGTGGGTTCCTAAAACCTACATACAGTGCACTTCTCCCTGTGTGGGTTCCTAAAACCTAAATACAATGCACTTCTCCTTGTGTGGGTTCCTTAAACATACATACAATGCACTTCTCCCTGTGTGGGTTCTGGGGCCTCATTGTTGGCAGAAGAACAAATATAGTAGACCCACTGCCTGCCTAACAAGCATGTCATAAGAATTGAATAATTGGGGGTTATCTTCAAAGTGCATCTGCCATAGAGGCAGGGAACCAACAGTCTGCATACAAATAAGCCAGGTCTGTGAAATAGATGAGCATGCATAACTCAAGTTTTGAAACAAGATTATAAGTCCAGAAGCGGATAAACAACCAGAACTTTTTATCGGGAGTTTGCAGCCAGTGAAAAAGAAGAAGATAGTTAGTTAGTTAGTTAGTTGGGTTATCCTCATTGCACTCCGGACATGTCCATAGGTGCTCAGATCCTCCCCTCAGTATGAACCCCAACGTCCGATGGCTAATAGTACCAGTTCTATGTTGATTAACAAGTCTTCTGGCGTAGCTGGTGTGCGTCTCGTTTTTTGATGTGCCGATCTTAATTCCCAAGTCTGCCATTCTGGCGAGTGATGTGGATTTACTGCCACCAAAGTCCTCTATCCTTCCCATTTCTCTGAGGGCATTGATAATATCAGCATGATCCATAGGCTGACCGTCGGTAGTGATAGCGGATCCAGCCAACCTGTCAGCTCTTTCATTTCCATCGAGGCCTGCGTGTCCCGGAACAAAAATAAAGGTGATTCCACGAACAGTGGACTTCCGTAATGATTCAAGCCATTGTCTTCGCACTGAACCTGCCTGAACCCTCCGGATCATACTCATTGAATCACTGAGTATACACACGCGGGTGTATTTTTGTGTTTCAAGCCAGACAAGCGCTTGTGTCACTGCCATCACCTCCATCGTCATGCTGCTGGTTGTCATGGAGAAGGCGCCGTTGGCTTCTTTGACTGTTCTGCCTGCTGAGCGTGCTGTAAATGCCCATGCGCTTCTTCTTTGGCGTATAACGGATCCGTCTGTATAGATTATTGCATCTGCTTCGTCTGAATTTTCACCGATGAGAGCGTTGACCTCTGCATTAACAGCAACAGGATTCTCTTCTCTGCATCGCCTGTTGAGTGTGACAATACAGGAAAATGTACAAATAAACGCCTGAGGCACAGGTATCCATTCTGCACCAGGTATGATGTCGGTTAGGCTGCATATTTGCCTAATAACATCTTCTGCCCGACCTAGCCACGATTTCCCCCTCTTCAGTCTGTCGCCCTTTTCACTAAAAAGCGCTTGATGCAGTGGGTGTTTCTTATCAGCGCATATTTTGAGATATGCCCGAGCATATAAGAAGAAGAATGTACCTGAATCACCATTCTCCTAAATGATGCAGTACACGTTTTCTGTTAATATATATTGTAATTATTACACACTGATTGAATGTTAAAGTAGGTCTTCACCATCATCATTATGTGCTGTGATAGAGGGCATAGAGAGTACCTCCTTTCTGTCTGCCTTTATTTCTACACGCCCCCCTCCCAACCTTTCCTTCTGAATTATAATAGTTTATGTCAGTAATTATTACTTTTAAATATAATGATATGAATGCTATTACTTGATGCCAGCAATTATCACTTTCAAATACGGGGATCTGAAAACTGATAGTTGTTACCAGCAGTTATTTCTTTCAGATATAGGGATCTGAATACTGTTAGCTGATGCCAGTAATTATACCCTTCAAATATAGTGATCTAAAGACTAACAATCATGTTGTAATGTTGTACTATATCCAGAAGTATGTATCCAACGATGTAGAGAAGCAGATGCTAGCTGAGTATGTCAAAAGTTTTTCCACTGGCTCCCTGCCAGCTCACAAAGAGGGATCTCGATACTGGATTAAAAACAAGGGCCCAATTGTTGAAACGTAAGTGCTATTGAAGAGTTATTAAATCAAAAGTAGATGGTATGATGTCATATACGTTATAATACATTTCTGAAAAAACCTTAAATTTAAATTATTTTGTGTGTGTGTGTGGTTAGTTTTTATAAAACCTTGCTGGGTATTATATTCATTTGCTTATTGTCTGTGCTCCCAGAGATATGTGTTGTAAACTGCATATACAGAAAAGGGTGAGTGTCTGTTTGCGACAGAATTCGGGGTGTGCCTTATGCAGCAATAAGTGTGCACCTGCTGGTTTGTCTTCACCCGCTGCAGATTAAATTTTGTATTCCACTTTAATTTGTACCCAAATAGCATTTGATGACAAATTGTAAGGGCTGTATCTAGAGGTTATTACAGTCTCTTTTTTGTTGTATTTTCATATAAATTTAGAGCAGATTTTTAGTTTACCTTGATTTACACCTGTTGTCTCCTTACTGGCAGTACTGAGCACTCACAGGTGTGACATGTCAGTTCTTCATATTAATCATCATAATTATAAATTTTTCATTTCTTGTGATGTTTTGCTTATTCTGACGCTTGTTAATCGAAGGATGTGGGTTCAAATCCGCAAGAAGAGAGATTATAAAAAAAAATTACCTTGGTCCCAGGTCGACCCAGTCTAAAATGGATACCAGGTAAAGTCCTGCGATTCAAGGTGGCTGACATGATGTTCACATCATCCACAGAATGCTGACTGGTCTTGAAAACATAGGATTAGCTCTAAATACTTTCACTAGAGACATGGTCAAAAAGGGGGTGAGGGTGTCAAGCAATTTTGAAATTGAGTGCATTTGTGCTTGCAATAATCTGTAATCTGTTATACAAACATTTTTTCAGTGTATTTATAAATTAAAATTTAACAGTCATTTAAAAAAAAAAAAAGGCATTGTTAACCATCACATTTATATTTGGACACTAAATGATCAGTTGTTGGCGTCTTGTTTCTTTTGGTATTTGACACGTTGATTTCTGTGGATTTTTTCTCCAAGTTTTTGTTAATAGAGCTTTGTGATTTTTCTTTTTATCCTCCTCATTTTTAATAACATTTTTTTTTTAAAGTTTGGGGAAGGGAAGAGTCACATGAGAACTATTGAAAACCACTGCTTGATGTCCTCCCTATATTCTTCTTCTCTGTCATGTGGTCTCCGTGTGTTTTGGGTTTCCCTGTATCTCACATATTCTGTGAGTTCCAGGAAACAGAAACATTCTAATTATACTGTTATCAGGTTTTCTAAACTTGTGTTCCATCCAGCACCATCATCTTTTCCTCACCTCTTAATGTGCTGAAATGGTATCTTTCCCTGAGCATCTTCTTCTTCTCTTCTTCTTCTTCTTCACTTCCTCTTTTACCGCTGTGGGTGTCGAGGGAGATATAAGGTTCTGTTTCTAGCTCTTCTGGCTGCCTCGACTTTAGGCACATCGTGCTGTTGTAGAGTTTCTCTGATGTTATCCTTCCATCTTGTTCTTGGTCTACCCCGTGCTCTACGTCCTTCTTCTCTTTCCATGTATGCTTTGTATGGTATGGTGTCACAAGGCATTCTCTCTAAGTAGGCAAACCATTTCACTTGCTGTCTTTGTATGTAATCCAGAATTGGATCTGTGCCGACTTGTTCTCTTATGATCTCATTCCTGATCTTATCTCTTATGGTCACTCCTACAGCCCTTCTCAGACATCTCATTTCCGTGGTTACTAATTTTCTTTTATGGTTTGTTGTGAGTGACCATGTCTGGCACTGGTAGCACAGAGTTGGAATAAATATGCTTTGAATAAGATGTCTCTTTGTGCTGATTGGGATTGTCTTATGCTGTAAGAGGAAAGAGGGGGGGGGGCTAGCTGTCCCAATACTTGGTCCCTGAGCTTCATAATGATGACATTTTGAAGCATTATATCTGTGCATGTACTGAAGATTTTACACTTGTCCAGTTTTATTTCTTAATTACAATGTTTCCATTAAACACATTTATTTTAATTTTTGTAGTCCAACCTACCATATTTTTCTGTGTATAAAACCGTTTGTTTTCTAAATTTGTTAAGTTTAAAAGTTTGAGGTGCCTTGAACATGGAATATGATTATTTTTATAACTTTTAGACAAAAAATATGGTAAATAAACACAGATCAAAGGTAGACCACAAAAATATGGAATAACCTGTCAAGAGCAGCCTTCAAGAAATGGAATTATACAACACATTAGGAAAAGCACACAGAAGATCCTTACATCTCCCCTCAATACCTCAATGAGATAACTAGATAAAGAGAAGAAGTCTTACCTCAATGAGATAACTAGATAAAGAGAAGAAGTCTTACCTCAATGAGGTAACTAGATATAGAGAAGAAGTCTTACCTCAATGAGGTAACTAGATAAAGAGAAGAAGTCTTACCTCAATGAGGTAACTAGATAAAGAGAAGAAGTCTTACCTCAATGAGGTAACTAGATAAAGAGAAGAAGTCTTACCTCAATGAGGTAACTTGATAAAGAGAAGTCCAGCTGTATAGGAGATATCACTCTTAGCTGTCAGTCCTCTTCAACTTTTCCACTTATATTTACTATTGAAATTAATCATCTACTTAATTGTGTCCTTTTCAGATATATTGGTTTTATAGAATCATACAGAGATCCATATGGTGTGAGGGGAGAGTTTGAAGGTACGTTGGCAAACATTATCTAGGAATGATCATCATACTTTCATTAGTTGACGCTCTTTATGATATCTGCCTATTCAGTGACATTCTGAATAACACTGATGTTTCTTGTTTCAATAAGGGTTAGTTTTAGGCATTTGAAAATTAGCTTCATAATTTAGACAGATGACATGTTTCAGAGATCCAGTACCAGGTGGAAGTTTTCATTGCTAAATGACTTGGTCCTTGCCAGAGTAACAACAAAAAAAAAAAGTAAAATAAAAAGTAAAAAAATTAAAGTACTAGGACTGGAACCAGGCATACAGTTTATGAAAGAGCAACGAATGAGAAGTTTTGACCAGCTGATGAGAATGCTCTGGTATGAAGTGCCACAGGGAGATGTTACTTCTCCCTCTCCACACTTATCTGAGGTAACTGGAGGAAGAGAAGAATAAGAAAAGACATACTCTGTCTTATGTTCCTTGTGGATGTACTTTTTGTCTTGCACCTTGTTTCATTGTGAATGTCCTCTTTGTCTTGCACAGTTTCCTTGTGGATGTCCTCTTTGTCTTGCACCTTGTTTCCTTGTGGATGTCCTCTTTGTCTTGCACCTTGTTTCCTTGTGGATGTCCTCTTTGTCTTGCACCTTGTTTTCTTGTGGATAACCTCTTTGTCTTGTACCTTGGTCTTGTTGTATGTAGGCATGTATGACTACTTTTCTCTGCTTGGATCCATGATAGATATCTATACTATTGACACTGCTATACTTTCAGGTTTTGTGGCTGTTGTCAACAAAGCCATGTCAGTAAAGTTTGCCGAATTGGTCCGCAGTGCAGAGCACATGCTGGCCCACCTGCCCTGGCCACCAGAATATGAGAAGGACAAATTCTTGCAGCCAGACTTTACCTCCCTAGATGTCCTTGCATTCGGTGGAAGTGGTATCCCTGCAGGAATCAACATTCCAAACTGTAAGTGATATACCTGTGGGCTTTTATTTACTCTGCATAGTATCGGCTTCGCAAAGCATGCTGAGGAGGCTGGAAGCAAATTAATTTGAATGGAATGGGTCGCATCCAGAGGTCACAGGGGATGAGAATCACATGGGTATTTTCATCAGGCCATTCAGGCATGTTTGGGAATAATCAGGCAGATAGGTTGGCTGGACTGGCCCCCACTTGGGGGGGGGGGGGGGGTGTACTGCAACTGCACAAAGCAGGGGTGATCTCTCATCTGTGGGGCAAAGTAACAAGTAAAGTGGAAGATATTGAGAACCCGTACCTGGAGAGAATATTGCAGCAGGCAGTGTCTGTGGGTTCTGGGTGCCACTTGAGACTTGGGAGAGGCAACCAGATAACAGCGGGTACCAGCAGGGTGAAGACTCCTCGCTGGCTGTTGAGGAGGGAGTCAAAACTAATATGGGCTTGTTCTGAATGCTGTGATGTCCGGTCATTACCCAGATCTTTTCCCTAGATGGAATTTTATTGATATGATTGCTGGGTTATTTATTGAGATTGTCTGCAGGTGGAATAAAACCTGGTATTTCAGAATTGCGACCAGTATGACCCCAACGCCTAGGTTCCAAATACCAACATGCGAAAAAAGAAAGGAGCTTCAAAGTCATTAAAGTTAAATTTTGTGAACTGTGTATACGTACTCTATATATTTATAGTGCATATATATCATCATCATCATCATGTAGCGGGTCCTTTGCAGAACATCGCTCTCATCACGGTCTAGCTGAAAGAAACCCAGTCACTCACCAGCCCTCCAGTGTCATGTACTTTCATACTCGTGGAGTCACTTAATTCCTGTGCCCATCTTTGTGTTGGTCGGCCCCTGCCCCTCCTTCCTGGTACCATATCTTCTGCTTTTTTTTTCCAATCCATCATGGCGCTTGATATGACCAAAATATTTCAGCTTCTGAGACAGGATGCTGTTTATTAGCCAATCTTCCTTAATGTTCAGATCTTTTAAGATGTCAGCATTTCTTCTCTTCTTTGCATATATATATATATATATATATATATATATATATATATATATATATATATATATATATATATATATATATATATATATATATATATATATATATATATATATAGTTAACTTCATTTAAATTTCATTGTTTTAAAGCTTTTTTTTTATCAAATGTACAATTTAAAAAATATGTAAAAATATTTTCAAAATTGTGGCTACTCTACGAACTATTGATGACGCTAATAGAGTTGGCTATTTTTTCTCAGTAATTAGATATCCGTTTCAGAGTTAGGTTACAGCAGCAAGCTGAGACAGGAAATTGTGTATATATAAAAATTTGCTGCAGAACAGCATACATGTATTCACAGTTTGTGTACCATTTGAACTGTCTGGACATCAACGATTCATATCTGTTTAGAAGTTTGAGCATGTTCTGAGTGCTTGCCTGTTAATGATATTTAATTAATCTTCCATTTAATTAGTTTGTGGTATTTGTAATCACTTTTATCTACAGCCTTCTGTCTTGTTTTTGTGTGTGTGGGTAGTTTCTGTCGTAGATGTTCTTCCATGCCAAACTATCCAACATCTTCTCTCTTGCTCTCTTGTCTTTCCACTCACTATCAAAGTTTTATTAGCATTTTTGTTAAGTATCTGACTTTGTTTTCAGAATTTTCTGATACTCTTTTTTGAAAACTGTGATAATAATTTTTTTTTTAACTACAATTGTCAGATGATGACATCAGGCAAAGTGAGGGATTCAAAAACGTGTCTCTGGGAAATGTGCTGACCTCAGGATACAAGGACACAAAAATCACATTCATTAGAGATGAAGACAAAGTAAGCTCAATAGCTCTTGTTTGTCTTTTAAAATTTTAAAATTATTGACTTGGTTATCATCTTCTTCTTTGGAGTCGTCTGAGTGATGTAATTGCGTTGTGCCTGTTTAGAGCAAAGCTGCTGTATTTACGCCTTTTGGCCGACACATCCAACTTCATCAAACATTTGTGAGCAGGTAAATGTCCTGTTTCGTTTCGTTGACACAATGTAGCCTTGTTTGTGTAGGCTCTTTGTCCTCCTATCTCCGGGTGTTGCCCCCTGGAGAACCTGTCCAGGACAACCACATGTAGACTGGTCGACCCTCAATTCCAATTCCTTTTAAGAAAAAAATCAAAAACTCAGCCACTCTCAACCTGTTGCTAGCTAGCCAAAGCTGCCAACAGTTTCCGGCTATATTTGTGGTCTTGTTTATTTGCGCCACTTTCGCGGCTAAAGTTCTAGTATTTGTGCTGTCTCTGGGCTTAATGCTTCTTTCCTCCGAGGCAGACGACGTCTCATTCAAAGGAAGGCAGGGGCAGATCATAAGCATTCCCTGCCATTTAAGGAGGCATACATAAATACAGAGTTGACACATGACGCTCTGGTACTGGGCTCGCCTTTAAAAATCACCACATGACTGCAGCTTAACCTCACCTCCATATTTTGAGCTTCCCACTCATCACAGTCTGCACCCTCTGAACATGTTTATGATTGATTGGATTTTGCAGCTAATAAGTTTTCACATTTTATGAGGTGTCAGGTCTCATGTTAATCCTTCATAGTGGCATCCTCTAACATACATGGAGGAGGAAGGACAATGTTTACAATGTTACTGTTCTTTGCTTTTCTTCTGATCCCTTGTAACTGGAGGAGGGGGGGGGGATGTCTCTGTGGCAAAGTGGTCAAGCTGTTTGTCTTGTGTTGCAAAGTTCATGGGTATGGTTCACAGCTGAAATGTTCAGTTTATGAGTGCAGTTTGTATTTAGACCTATGGGGCCATCATTGGAGCTATGGGGTTCGTGCTTTGTGTGATGCTGTTGGCAGGTGGCTAGCCATTCTGTGGAGAGAGACTGAGTTATATATATATATATATATATATATATATATATGTGTGTGATAAAACTCTGCAATGAAATTGATCTTCTCAACTTTAACTTTCCTCTGTACCACACAGATGTCAAATGTGTATGTACTTGCATGTTAAACACACACACATACACACCTCGAGTATATTTCTGTTATTTTATTCATATATTTGCATTTGTTTATTTATACCTCACTGAGTTAAATTTTTAATCACATTACATTTGTTTGTTTCACTTTAGGAATTGTACTCCAAGTATAAGATTCAGTCTTTTGAGGTCCAAGTTGGGCTGCATGAACTCTTGGGTCATGGCAGTGGAAAACTGTTTATTGAGGTCAGTGTGTATTTGTGTGTGTTAGTCTCTCTCATTGGCTGCTGGGGAAAGGGGGGTGGGTGTTCAGGTGTACCAGAGTGGCTGCTATGCTTGTTTGTAGCCCAGTAGTCATGTCTCAAACACCTTCCAGTCAGGAATATTTATAATTGATTGACCTGACAGATCGACCCAGCCTATTATAGATACTAAGAAATTTGGTTTCATGAAATTATCATGTTTTTTCATGAAATTCACATTTTCTACTTCTTTTTGTCCCTAAACCACAGCTGTTTAGTGTGGCCATTTTGAATGTCGGGCCAGATCATGTGCCCTAAGTGTTACTACTCCAGTTTGATGAGTTTTTTTTTCTCCTTTCTTTATCTTGAGCACATGAGTGTGAACAATTAAATCCTCTTAGGCTTGTTGAGGATGGAGGATTGGACAGAGAAATAGAAAACGGAAGGCCAACAACTAAATCACTAAAAAAAAAAAAAAAAGTGCCACTTTTGCGACATCAAAACTTAAACATGCCCACACACAAAAGCAGCTGATAAATGAGGATAGGCCCACTGCCCTCTAACAAGCGTGTCATAAAAGGCCACTAATTAGGGTCATGCTGAAATTGGATATGTTGGCCCGAGGGGTGGATATATTATAACCAGCTGCAAACCACCAAATAAAGTACACAGCTCCTCCTTGAGGGCGTATGCAGTAGAAGATCATTTACTGTTCATCCTATAATGTTTTTCAGTCATGAAACTAATTGTATTTTTGTAGTGTATTTGAATGCTCATTTTTATTCTTTCATAGATACAGTTTTTGTGATCTCGTGTGGGTTCCTGCGTCCCACTGCCTCTCTAACAATCATTTCATTAAAAGAAATTAATTTTCTGAATGCAATTAGTTTAGCTGTAGTGTATATCTGAGAAGAATTGCCAATATGTGCTTGATGTTTCTGTTTTTAAAGTAATTTAGCAGTGTTTTTAAAATGACAAACACTTGTTTTGTTGTTTTACAGGAGTCACCAGGGAAATTTAACTTTGATATAGACACTGTTACTCACACTGAAACCAAAGAGAAGGTAAATATAATTTGATTCTGTTTCATCATATCTTCTTGTTGCCTGGTATTTTTTCTTTCCAATCTTTTTGTCTGTATGTCCTTACCAATGGAGCATATGCTCTCAGCCATCTCACACCAAGCCCTATTTAAATATGTTCATGGCAAGTTGGATTTTAGAACTAATGTTTTCTAGTAGATGAAGTTGCCAGGCCCTTGCCAGCTCTACATGTATGACAGGTTACATTATACTATTGTCTGCTGCCCTTGTGTGCCCTGGTAACACATTAGAGAAGTATCCTCTGTCACTAATGAAATTATTTTCGGGCCGTTCAGTTCCCTTTTTATTTTTAAAAAATCTTTATATATTTATTTAAAAAAAAATCTTTTCCCTTTATTAATATTAATAGTAAATTAAGTTAAGGACTCTATTGCATAGGGCTCTGTTTACCTAAGGCATATAGTGCTAGACCTAAATTTGTATAGACACGTCAGCATTCAAGGCCGGGTTGACCTGGGAGGCATGGTGAGTCTGTACCACCACTGCTGTTTTATTTAATGTTGCATGACTGCACACTGAACCACTCAGTTCTCAAATGCTAGGATCCCCTCCTCAGTATATCCCCCAGTGTGTGGCAACTGACAACGCAAGCTGTATGTTGGTTTACTGTTTTTGACATTTAGTTCAAGTTTGCTGATTCACATTCATTAGCTGTTTTCTTTAATCACCATGTCTGTCCCAGGGCATTCACTTTTATCCGCCTGGTCCTTTGCCCGTTCACTTTATCAGCCTGGTCCTTTGCCCGTTCACTTTATCAGCCTGGTCCTTTGCCCATTCACTTTATCAGCCTGGTCCTTTGCCCATTCACTTTATCCGCCTGGTCCTTTGCCCGTTCACTTTATCAGCCTGGTCCTTTGCCCATTCACTTTATCAGCCTGGTCCTTTGCCCATTCACTTAATCAGCCTGGTCCTTTGCCCGTTCACTTTATCAGCCTGGTCCTTTGCCCATTCACTTAATCAGCCTGGTCCTTTGCCCATTCACTTTATCCGCCTGGTCCTTTGCCCATTCACTTTATCAGCCTGGTCCTTTGCCTATTCACTTTATCAGCCTGGTCCTTTGCCCATTCAGTTTATCAGCCTGGTCCTTTGCTCATTCACTTAATCAGCCTGGTCCTTTGCCCATTTACTTTATCAGCCTGGTCCTTTGCCCATTCACTTTATCAGCCTGGTCCTTTGCCCATTCACTTTATCAGCCTGGTCCTTTGCCAATTCACTTAATCAGCCTGGTCCTTTGCCCATTTACTTTATCAGCCTGGTATTTGTCCATTCACTTTATACAGTAGTTGCTCTTTATTTGTACATTTTTAAACTGTTTGAAAAATCTGGAGACATTAAGATGGTACTGAAACAAAGGAATTATTAAAAAGCACTGAAATGGAGGAAATAAGGATGGCTAAAAAAAACCACGAGACGATAAGTGCTGGACTGATTTCATCTTGGTATAAAAAATGCATTGCACAGGATAGAATGGAACTGAAGGCTAGAATGCGAGCCCTATGTGATGTATAATGACATGGTAGGAGGATGATGATGATGACAGAAACAATGTGCTGGCCAAGATTATTTAATTAAAAAATAATTTTAAAAACTGAATAAGTGTTACCCTGGTAAGTCACGTGACTACTGTGAATTTCCGGCGACTAGATAAACTATGATGCATTGAAAGAGACTATTCACATTTCACTTGGATTTATTCAGTTTTTTTTGCTTCATTTTATGTTGATGTAACTCTGTAGTAACGTACCTGATGAGATAGATACAGTTGAATAAAAAAATAAAAAAAGACAATAAATGCCTGAGAAATGTAGAAGGGCAGTGTGTATTTGTGTATAATAAGTTCACTTCTGCTTGTATGCATTAATAGGTAGGTGAGTGTGGATGTCCATTCTCTCTGTGTCCATCCATCTGTTTTTTTGTTTACTGAATTTTGAACAAATTTTTAATATATTTACTACATTGTGACTGAATATTCCAGGTGTTTTCAGTGTGTATATGATAAAGAATTAGAAAAGAGTATACTCACCCACAGTGCTAAATATAAGACAAAATAGGACTAGAAAGCTCAACAGGGGCAATAGAAAAGATGCACACAAACAAAACTGAATGTTTCGACCAAAGTCTTTATGAACGGAGTGCTGAATACAGCACAGACTGACTAGGAAATGCAATGGGCAAGGCACAGAGCTAATACAAAACCAAAGTCATTTTCTTGCAATCAACTCGGCTGGTCACCCCCTCTTTACGTCATCGCATTGAACAACAGCTGACTTTGTAACCCCGATACAACCCACTGTTTTATATGGTTGGATAGGGTTTCTTGGATTTACTTCTGCTGGATTTGCACATCAGAAGCAGACACTACATTCTTTAGTGATGTCATGAGAAGGAGAAAACTGGAGTACATCATGATGGTGGGAAAGTTGGAGGGTAAAAGAGACAGAAGAAGACTGAGAGGAAAGATGCTGGACAATTTGACATCATGGCATGAAAGATCATCCGTGCTCAGTATTAATTGAAAGTGCACGAGACAGCAGGTTGGTGATAGACATGACTACCAGTGCCATACGGCATGGGCTTTGAGAAGAAAGATTTGCAAACAGAGACTTTGTGAGTCACTTGGTGTCTATCTTTCAGACTGAGTTGTGGTGGGAAACAATTTACAAACAATGTATGTAAATTATTGTACAATCACTTATGAAGTTTATTTTGTGAACTACTTGTTTTATATCTCTACAGATAACAAGCTGGTATAAGCAAGGAGAAACATGGGACAGCAAGTTTTCGACTATAGCTTCCACATATGAGGAGTGTAGGGCTGAATGTGTCGGCATCTATTTGTGTCTGCTTTCTGATGTGCTCAAGTAAGTTTTGCTGAAATAGCTCATTAATGAAACGTATTTAATGTTTTATTATCTGTTAACTCTTTCAGCACCAAAAGGTTTCACATGAGATTCCAAGGTGAAGAAATAACCATGATGAAAAATCATGAATGAATTACTTTCAAAGTGACAATATACAAAGTGGTGGTGACCATTTGGGAAAGCCAGATTTTATTTTAGCATGTTCTGACCGAAAATTAACAAAAAAGGGAGCACAGTATGCTGTGGAGGGGAAATCAAGGGGTACATTAATTAACACATTAGGCGTTGTGTGGGGCTCAAAGAGTTAAATTTAGTGATTTAGTTTATTGCTTTTCTTGCTGAAGACAGGAAGGAAGAAACATAGAAGCATATAGTCAGCGGGCCCATTTCTGTCTTTCCAGACAATAGTGTTCCATTGAGGAGCGCTGGTCGAATGGTTAGAGTCAGGCTCTCATGCTGGATACCCGAGTTTGACCCCCGGGAAGGTGATAGAGTTTTTCTGTAAAGGGGGGTGGGGGTGGGGGGGAATCCCTGACCAGGGTTTTGAACCTGGATATTCCGCATGAGAGTTCAGCGTTCTAAACCGTTCAGCCAGCTGCTGCTTACAGTAACATTGGTAGTAATATTGACAATTGATTGTTTATTTTACCAGTTTCACTGTATCTTATGTTGACATTTCAACAGGATTTTTGGACACACCGGGGACGATGCTGATGATATCATCTACGTGAACTGGTTGAACATGGTCAGAGCCGGGCTCTTGGCTCTGGAGTTTTACTCTCCTGAGACAGGCTCATGGAGGCAGGTCTGTAACAGGCACTTTAGCAGTTCATGAGAAAGTTTGCTTAAGTCAGGTGGTTTTATAGATTACAGCTAATACAGGAGGAAAAATGTACGCTTTTAATTAAACACACACACAAATGTTGTAGAAGGAATCTGTAAATCTTCCATAAAAATGTAAGTCATGTAAAGGATGAAATATTAAAAGATAATAATGAAAGTAAATTTTTCACAGGTTTTAATTTTTTTTTAAGTGTCTTCAACACTGTGAATCCAAAATTACATTGTTTAAAAACCCCTGACTTTGATTAAGATGATAAACATATGATTAGTGTAGATGGCAATAAAGAATCCTTAGGTTTGGTTGATGTAATGAATATGAGATTACTTTAATTTCTGTTTGAGAACCCCTGACTTTGATTAAGATGATAAACATAAGGTTAGTATAATAGCCATTTGAGAACCCCTGACTTTGGTTAAATGATCAGTGTGAGATTAGCATAGTAGCTGTTTGAGAACCCCAGACTTTGATTAAGGTGATAAACATGAGATTAGTGTAGAAGCTGTCTGAGAACCCCTGACATTGGTTAAATGTTAAACGTTAGATTAGTATAGTAGCTGTTTGAGAACCACTGACTTTGGTTCAGATGATGAACATTAGATTAGTATAGTAGCTGTTTGAGAACCCCTGACTTTGGTTCAGATGATAAACATTAGATTAGTATAGTAGCTGTTTGAGAACCCCCGACTTTGGTTCAGATGATAAACATTAGATTAGTATAGTAGCTGTTTGAGAACCCCTGACTTTGGTTCAGATGATAAACATTAGATTAGTATAGTAGCTGTTTGAGAACCCCTGACTTTGGTTAAATGATGAATATGAGATTAGTATAGTAGCTGCTTGAGAACTCATGACTTTGGTTAAGTAATAAACATGAGATTATTATAATAGCTGTTTGAGAACTCCTAACTTTGGTTAAATGATAAACATGGGACTAGTATCTGTTTAAGAACCATTGAATTTGGTTAAGATGACAAAAATGACATTAATATAGTAGCTGTTTTAGAACCCCTGACTTTGGTTAAAATGATAAACATGAGTTTTGTATAGTATCTGTTTAAGAACTCTTGAATTTGGTTAAGATGACAAACGTGACATTAATATAGTAGCTGTTTAAGAACCCCTGACTTTGGTTAAACAAGAGATTAGTGTAGTAGGCATGGCATCCGCCTCGAGTGCTGGAGGTCCCGGATTCAGGCCCCAGTGAATTCTGGGATTTTTCACGTGGACATCTAGTAATTTCTCCTGGTCTCTGGGTA